GTCACTGCATTTTTAAATATGCAGTGGACCAAAACTTTCAATTCATTACACAAACAACACGCATACACACTGAAAAAAAAAAAAAGGAAAAAGAAATGTCAATAGCATAGGGAAAACAGCAAAAAAGGAAAATGCCTTTTTTGTAATTTCTAATGGAGAAAAATCATCCCAATTATGTGGAAAAATGTGGAAATTTTGTCTAAAATGTGGAAATTTTGTCTAAAATGTGGGAAAATTTTGCTGCAAATTATTCTCGGGGTTTGCATCTTCCCTAGCCTTGCAGGAGTTCATAACCCCTGCTGGGCCCGGGCCAGGTGCAGAGCACAGAAAGCAGCCAAGGAATCTCATCCGGATCCCCCGAGGTGCCCGGCCGCCTCCCTGCAGCCTGGCAGGAGTCAGCGGAGACTGCCGTTTCTCCACTGAACTCCGGGAATTTGTTCCTCGCTCTTCCCACGGCGGGACAGGCCTTGCCGCTGCGACACAAAAACCCTGCCGTGCTTCAGCAAGGGGCACCCCGCTCCGGCCGGGCGGACACCTGAAGAGCGTTTTGGGTTAAAAGACAGTAAGAAGGTGCCCGGGGAGCAGCCCAGGGAGCGGAGCGCGGCGGGCGGCCGTGCCCGGGCGTGAGGCGGCGTCGGGCGCGCGCGTCCCCCCGCGCGCCGCCATGGCGGCCCGGCCCGCACGCGCGCCCGCGCCGCCTGCAATCATACGATTACATAATTAACCCAGCTGTCTCATTAAGAAAATCAACTGGAATTCAGGGCATAATTAGTCATACAGCAATTAGCATGCTGATGAGCAACTGATGAAAAGCTGTCTAGATAGCGAGTACGCTGGGACCACCCTCGTTATTTAAAAAAGAGGGGGGGACCCCCCCGGGCCGGCGAGGAGGCCGAGCAGGCTCCAACCCAGCGCTCCCAACCGCTGGATGGAGCAAAAGCTGGGATAAAAGCTGCGGAAAAGCAAAACTTGCCCTCCTTGGGAGGCCAGGCTGATTTAAAGCAAGCCGGTGCTTTAACCTGCGGCGCAGCGGGCCGCGAGATGGGCTGCCCAGGGAAATTTTGCCAAACGAAGTGGAAAAAACGTGTCATTGTTTAAATGTACGATTTACACAGCACTGGCCAATTACCCTCAAAAAAAAATTACATATATTTTTAATAAATCAGGGCAGAGACCTGCTCCGCTGAAAATTCCCCCCGCCGAGCTGCTGGCACAAGTGCACCTGAGCAGGGCGGACACAAACCCGGGCGCAGCTTTGGTGGCCTGGCCCGGCTGCCCCGAGTCCATCACCCCGTTATGTGCGAGAGCATCGAGCGCTGTGTCCGCCCCATACCTTAAAATGGAGAGTGCCCGAAGAGACTTTTCCAAAACAAAAGGCTTTCCCTAAATCCCCTCCTCCCTCCTCATTACAGGCCTCTGCCACAGCAAGTGGTGGGAAAGTAAGTCAGGAGACAGCGCCAGAACTACAGGGGCAATTAATATTTTATCTCGCTGGTAATGCGCTTCCTAAGGTTCGGATCTAAAAATAAGCCATGGAAGGCAATGCGAATCTCTCTCAAAAATACTGCATTTTTGTTGCCTGAACCATGTTGCTAGTAAAGCTTTCTTAAAGGCTGCGCTCAAGAAACACCCACGCAAAGCGATAAGGAAAGGGGGGGGAAAACCTTCTGTACACAAGTTTATTGCATGGAATTGTATTAAAAAAGGGGGAAAAAAACAGCTCTGAAGCGCTGCTTTATCACAGTCCTGTTATTAAAAGGCAAGAGAAGTTTTTTGACTTTTTACATGCCTCCTTAGGCAGCACATCAGCCCTCACTTCGCCCAAACTGGCTCTTTTGGGGGACATTTGGGGCTGCCAAGCAGAAGAGCAGCAAGCGGCAGCAGCTTCAGATGCACTAAGTGCTTTCTTGGGAGGCTGCGTGTCTGAAAATAACCTGAAAATGTGTTTTAGAAAAAATAATAATTACACTGTCGCTCTTGAATATTCAAACACCTCACAGCATACTTAATTAATTCATTAATTATTCCCCAGAAAATTTCAGGGGTAAATTGAAATAGCCTAGAGAGACTGAGACAAAGATTTGGTGGAATAAATGATAGCTTGCCTCCTTCTCCCCTGTGACTCTGCTAGCCCAGGGACACGGGAGCTGCAGCGCGATTCTGCTAGGAACAAAGCTCAGCATCTCCCCAGCTCCTCACTTCATAAAAAAAGCCTGAAATGAGTCTTCCTTCGAAGACAGAGTATATTTTTCTCCCGTTCATTTCCCCCACATTTTTAAAGCATTCTCCTGTCCCTCCTGCTACTAGGACATTTTGCATAAAGGAATAAAAAACACAGAAACCCAGATTCTGCAGCCCCAAAACCATCCAAGCCAACTGACCCACCATCCTACAGCCCCCCGGCCACTGTGTGGCTCTGGATCCCGTGGCCACTTATTTGTAATTATTTCTCCCCAATTCTGGAACAGTGACTGCTGCAAAAGACGCTCTGGCCTGGACCCAGACCCAGAGAAGCATCTCACATCTAGTAGCCAAAAAAAGTCAAAACGAGGCAGGGTAAATTACTGTCTCCTTAATGAACTGCACCGCAGTTCCCTTTCCTTTCAAAGAAGCAATGAAAATAAATCTTTAGGGGAAGAAAAAGTTTTAGTATTAAAAGCGGGGTATGCATAATGGGTGATACAATATTTTATAAGCTTTTGGGGAATAGTATATGCCAGCCAAAAACATATCTAGTGACTTACGAGAGAAACCGCATTCTGAGAAGCTCAGAAGCTACAATTTCATTTCTAATATTCTAGCAGTGGCTGATGACATCTGAATTTACTGCTTGCAGACCGAGCTCAACGCAAAGCAAAAGCAAAGCACCCTTCCACTGAAAGTTGCATTCTCCTATTTTGAAACTATAAAAGGAGAAATGAACTCTCTGCTATATTTGAAAGCACTTCAGCCGCACCATCCTTTTCTTTCCCCTAAAAGCTTCTGAAAGCAGGTAGCATTAACAGCTCAGAAACTGGGAGCAGTATTTGAATTTCAGCTCTTCCTGCAACAGGGGGAGGGAACAGCCCATCACACTCCTATTTCACTCGGAATATCCCGCACCGCTTCAGGAACCAGGGCCGGGGATGCTCAAACTCCAGGCCCTAAAGCAAAGGGGGCTGGGGTTGTCACCCCTCAGGGATATCCTTGCTCTTTTACCGTGAGTTATTCCTGCTGCTCTTCACTGCATCCTTATCCTCACATGCACCTCTGTTCTTCCTGCTGGGTCAGCAGCCTACCAAGTGCAACAGGGCTTGACAATCACACAGTACGTGTTTTTGAAAGCTTTAGGAATATTTTCCTTATAATATTTACCCATTTTTTTTGCAAAGGATTATCCAATTACTCCTTCTGCTCAACCTCAAACCATGTTTGCAGGTAATAAAGCTGGTTTTAGCTTCCACGTACTAACTAGGCTCAACTTTAGATTTTGATTTTACTGGACTGTCAGCTGTGTTTGGCGAGACCTCCTGCCTCCCTCCTTAGGAGGGTGTGTGAAGCACTTTGGGGCCCATCAGCGAGCATCCTTCTGCTCCCTCGCCTCCTGGTGCCCTTCCCTGCTGCGTGCATTCATTTCCATTGCAAAGTTAGGGGCAGCAAAAAGATACGCCCTTTCGGTTTAGGCTTCTATCTTGCATTTTATTTAAATATATTTTGTTTGCAAAGGAATCCCTGAATCCCTGCTGAAAGCATTTTCCAGAAGTGCCCGTGCACAACTAAGGTGACATGCTGCAGACTCGGACCAGGCTCCAGCCTGGCTGCTTGCACGGGGTCTTCTCAAACAATTAGCAATCACCCCAAGCACAAGCACTCGGAGATTTAACTTTTTCAAAGCTGTTTTTAATCTTTTGCTTCAGGACATGCTTAATGCCCTCCCTTGGCAGGGAACCACTTCTCTTTTGCACCTTTTCACATCTTTGCTAAATTGACATGCGAGCAGCTCCTCCCCGGCACGCAGGGCTCCAGGACACGCTGACACTTGAGCGCACAAGCAGCTTTCTGGACATTCAGATATGCTGAATCCTCCTGCCTGGGCTAGTATCAGTCTCTGTGCCTTATCTTTAATATTGCATTTTACAAACGGATGAACAAGCCACACAACATATATAAAGACAACAACCTCATAAATATTTACCCCTTTCAACACAAGCCAAAAAATCCTCAAACATCATTTTCTTTTTTTGATATCACCTTTAATATCACAGCCATTGCCCCAACCTACTTTTAACAGGGGAGTTTTCGCCCAGCTAGAAAGGGGGCCTGTCGAGCTGCCAGATGGGAAGCAAGCGAGAATTACCTTCATTTTTGCCCTTGGAAATACTTTCCTAACACTTATTCTAACCGATTATTCGTGTTAAGGGGATTTTGTCACTGCTCAGCTAAATCAGGACTTCCCTGGGTGCTGGGTGTGCAGCAGGGCAAGGTGGCAGCGCTAACGTGGGATCGTCCGTGAACCGATGAGGGGCCGGCGCTTCTGCTGGGGCTCCCTGGCAAAGGGAGGGAAGGACAGGATTTCCACTTTGGACACCTAGCAGGTTATTTATTTCCTTTGGACAAGACAGGTTAAAAAAAAAAATGCATTTTTTTCTGCTTACCCTCTTTTGTCATTTTACCCCTTCCTTAAAAAGCAGCTTCTCTGAGCACACAAACACAGAGCGCGCTTCGTGCAGCACCCGCTATGAGCAGAGCGCCGCAGCCCGTCCCCAAGGCCGCCGCGCTGGGCGGCTCTGCTCCGCGCGCGGCTACTGCCGAGCGGGCAGCGCGGCTCCGCTCGGAGCGGCTGTATCGGAGACGTCCTGTCCCGCGGCGCTGCCGGCGGCTCCCCGGACAGCGAGGAGGCAGCGCCGCGAGGCACCAAGGCGGGAAGCGGCCGCCGAGCACATCCCGCTGCCGCCTCTTCCCCGGGGCCCAGGCGGCAACCGCGAGAGCGGCTTCCAGGAACAGCCCTCTGCACGCAAACTCATCGCGGGACTGCAAAACACTCCGTCCTTGGGTCATTTTTCAGAGGAAACGGCTGAACGAACTCCAGTTACATTTAACTGCTGCCGCAACAGGGCACCAGCCTGTCTGTTTAAGGTAGAACTTGTTCTTCTCCTGTCCACTCACTGTACTGAAAACCGAGCAAAGGAAAACGTGCAGGAACTGGGCAGTAATAGAGGCACTTTGTAAAGGGGAAGTCTCTTTGAGTAGTTTTATCCAGAACCTGTTACTTGCAATTCACTCTTGGCCATTTTAACCTTTCCTTGAACATTACAGTGAAGTTTGTTAAAGAAAAAAATAAATACGGCCAAATGTTTAAGCAGTGAACGCTCTATCTTTAAGAAAAATACATAATTTTTGACATTTTTAACATTCGGTATTTCTCTCTTCCAGCTTTAGAAAATTGGAATTATAAATACAATATTCCTGCAGAGGAACACTTCTAAACTCTGCTCCTGCAGACGCTTAGAAAACAGAGCTCCAACTTCACTCAAAGCGTTGCAGGATTAAGACTCTAAAAGCCAAGGCTGCTAACACAGAACACGGAACTTTATAAAATTAGACAGAAAGATATCTTGTACAGAACGAAAAAAGCCTCTTCAAAATAAGGACAACCTTTTGCTTCCAAATAAATAAATTCACATTATTTTTAAAGGTAAGTTGTGATAGTCTTGTTGATTAGTGTAATTTAAACAGCAGCATTCCCTTTTCTCTTCATCTCTATTGCATACTGAAAATGGGTAATTAAATGAGAAAATTAATTCCATTAATTAAAAATGTTCGGTCTCAAGCAAGACAGAATAATTTGGGTGAGAATTAAAGCTGTATAAATGTACATAAAGCACAGTATTTTCTGTGATACGTGCCTTCCTTAAGGAAGGATAAATTTTCCAGCACAAACCAACGACAATGCTATTTTAAAACTAATGCAAAAATGGAGAGATATATTGAAAAGTTTACACTATCTTTTAAGGAGAGTAACATCTGATGTATACAGGAGCATTTACAAGTAAAACACCACCCTTCCCACAAATTCTTTCCTTGTGAGTCTGAGTGAAAATTCTGCTCAAGTCAGGAAAGACAATCATTAAATTTGGCTGAATCCATAAAGCACCGTAGCTGGAGTTTCAATACAGATAATTTTGTAGTAAAATTAAAATAGAAGCTCTTTTTAATTGTATCAAGTGTGCACATTATCACTGACGAGAGGAATACACGCTTTCCTCAAGAACCATAAAACTGGCTGCTGGGAATTAGGCATCAGCCGCAATTATGACAGCCTTACAGAGGACATTAAGCGTCGGATGAAACTGCCCCCTTGCCGCGTCCCGGCAATGCTCGTTCCTAGGCAGAGCCTTCCCCAAGCATCGCAGTTCCCTTCTCCCACTGAAAGGAAGACCCTGCAGGATTTGGGAGCTAAAAGCACACACCGAGCTATCTGAAATCCCAAAGGGGCAGGTGAAAAGGTATGTGTGACCCACTGCAGCACAGCCCCGCATGGGATAAATGAGTCCTGAGGACCTTTGGAGAGGAGAGCCCTCCCTAAAAGGCCGGGAGACGGAAAGAGCAATGAAACGAGCCCCTGAGCCAACCGCAGCGTGACGAACACCAGGGATGTACGTTCCTCAGCACTGTTTCCATGTTTTAGTGTATTTGCTGTAAACAGGGTGTATTTGTTACACCTCCATACAAGCTGAGCACGGCTTTACAGGCCAGAGATGCTGCAGATCTTCCAAGGCATCCCCTGCACAAGGGTTTGGGAAGCAGCCCAGGCCAGGCTGGCTCTACCCTAACATCAAACAGTGAAAATAAAACGAACCATGAGAGCTCAGCTGCCCTGGCCCCCCAGAGCACAGCGGCACATGGACGGACACCAACGAACGCTCGCAGGCCACGACCAAACAGCCCAACACTCACCACTTCTGCAGCAACAGGGTCTAGGACGAGCATGGAAAAGTCTGTGCATCCCTCAAGATGTGCACGTACTGTTCCCTGGGCACTACTCTATTATAAACGCGAAATTTAAACTACATATACGCTACTGCTGCCTGGGCATCAGAAAAATTTTGACCTGAGAGGCAGCTAAACTGTAAGTAAAGCATTAAAAAAACCTCTGAGTTGAAATGTTCATGGAAAGCTCTTTGTAAAACAAGTACAAGCTCACATGCACTTTGGAACAAGGACTTAAAACCCCTGGAGTACTAATTACACCTCAAATGCTCTTTTGAGATAAGCATTTTGAATATGTATATAGAGAGATACTACAGACTTTAGAAAAGAATAAAGTCATACACAGACATTGCCAGGTGCCTGCAGCTCAAGCAGGGCAGCAATTTGAAATGTAGACTTGGGTTCCTAACTTGCAACCATCTTTGGGTGATGCTGCAAGAGGAAACTTCTCACCAGGAAAAATACAAAAAACATGGGGGAAGAAAAACAGCTCCCAAAAATGTAAAAAGAAATGACCTGGAACCTTATGATGCTGAACATAAAGACAAGTTTAAAACTCAGACACAAAGGTCTTTGTTTAAAAATACATGATCATGCTAACTGCGAACAGAATGGAAATCTGGCAGTGACCTACCCAGCAGTATCCAAAATACTTCTCCTTTTCACAATTGAATGGCAACAGAGCACCTGGTTTGTGCAAGTAACTTGCACAATTCACAATTTTTTATGTGAAGGTTGGAAAAACTTTCTCTGTCCTTTAAAAGTACAAAGACGAAACTTCACAAAACTTCAAGATCCATCTTTCTTTTTCAAAGAACCATGAACCTTCTCATAAATAAATCATTCAGATTCATACATAAAGTGTTGTATGTATAATATATATTTAACAAATTATTGAATATAAAATGATTTACACAAAAATTAAAATCCATGAACAGTTTTAAAAGGTGTCATGAAATGATTCTTCCTGTTAGAAACAATACGGGAGTGTATCCACTCTCCAAAAGATTCAGAAGAAAAAAATTACCCATATGTCACTTAGGTAGACACCTAAGTAGAAAAAATTCCAAGCAATATTCACACAAAAGGAGATTTGAAGAATAAGGTAAGAGTTTGCTTACCTGGAACATCAATTAATCTCTTATACACATTCAAGAAGGCTGCCTCTGCTTCTTTGCTTCTTTTACCCAGCGCGTCAATCTAAAATGGGAGATGAGAAAAGAAGGTTTTAGACTTGACCCAATAAAAGTCTCATACTTACTGCTATAAAAATAAACGACTACATTTCATGCGCATACTTTATTTCCAATACATGCCCATTGCCTATAAAATCAGTTACTATCTAAAAAGGAGACTCGAGTTCCCTGTGCACAGCTCCTATAAAAGCAGCCATCTAAGAATACCTCTTAGTATAACATCACACCAGATGCTATTTGAAGTCTTGTTCAGCGCAATGACAAGCATCAGTATTTTTAGGAGCAATGCTGTCTTATTACAAGTCTTAATTTCAGTCTTTATAAAGGGCACAGCTATTTGCAAGACAGGTTTTCTCCTCAATAACTTCTACTTGGAAAGCAGTTTTCCAGCAAAACTTGGGCCCTAAAGGTCCCTATAGACAGACCCTTCTGGCCAGATGCACTGATCTGTGTCGAACGCAGGACGTGGTGTGTCCACGTGTGGGGAATGTGCGGCCTGGTACTGCTTTCTGAAACACTACTGGTGAAGAGAGGGCAGCCTGACAGCTCAGAGCCCTGGCAAAATTCTCCAACAGAGGTGAGAAATCAAAGCACGGAGCTCATCGTTCCCATATTTTAATAAAAAGCAACGACAGATCTGCAGAGCATGGATCGAAAGGTCTGCCACCAATTCCTCTGTGCACCTGCAATGCAGCTACTGTCGTGAACCCATGGCAAGGTGCAAGCACCAGCGTGGGCGAGAAAAGGAAGGTCCTGCCCCAAAAATGTCCTGGAATTCCTGAAGGGCAGTATCGATTGGGCAGCTAAGCCAGAAACAAGGGCTGGCACTTACAGGGTCTGCAGTGCAGGGAGGCACCCGAAAGGGAGCCGGGAGGTGCTGGAAAGCGCAAGGAAGCGTCCGGCTGGGCGCGTGGCGGCGCTGCCCGCAGGGGAGCTGGCCCAGGAGGGCATGGGGAAGCGCAGGGAGCCGCAGGGTCACGCTCGGTGCCACTTGTGTTTACTCGCTATGAAAGCCACTCGGCCACGGGAAGGATTTGGGGGAAAAAAGCCGACACGGTGGATGATTAAAATAATGGAGGGAGTCAGACGGAAAGGGCACGGGTGCAGCGTGCGGACCCGCCACGTGACTCTTATAGATTAGTCTTATGGCTGGTAAGTGACTTGTAGAGATCATTATGGAGGGGATTAAGGCCAGAAAACCAAAGGACAAGGACAACTGCAGAAATTGCAGCAAAGCACAAGGCACAATGCATCGCCCAAGCACGGGCTCATGTGGAGGGGTCAAGGAGGGAAATAAGGACATCCAAAGCATCTGCACAATGTTTGGCAGCAGCCAGGCGATCCTGAGCAATATGGAGAGCAGAATTATTTTAACACAAAGCAAGCCTGTATTTCGCGAAACCACCCGAATTCCTATTGCACTGACATCCCCCAAGCCTGCATTAATGTGCGTAGCTCAGCGGAGGCGCTGCAAATGTCACTGAAACATGGCCTAGTTGTAAGTTATTCTTATCGGTTTAAAAAGAAAAAGGTATTGGGAAGATGCTAAGCAAGCTGCAGAGGGCGAAATGCCTGAAGATTTGGAGAGCAGATAGAAATCCTGCAGGAATCCTGGCCACCCTCGTCCTTTCCAGCTCTCCCAGCAAGGCTGCGGGGGAGGCACTGGAGTCTTGTGGGACCAGGTGATGGATGGGTGCGAGCCCCCCTGTTATTAATTTTAATGCAAACAATCACGGATGGACTGATGCTCATTAGGGAATGAGCACACGAGCAACGTGGTCGGAACGTATTCACACGGCAACTAGTTGCAATGGGAGCAGGGAGCAAAGTGCCAAAGCCAGGAGATTCCAGGACTGGGTCAATCTCCGCTCCGGAGCATCCTGCCACAGACGAGCTTAGAAATGGCAACTTTAGGCACTCTGATATTTCACAACCATATAAAAAGAGACTCTGAAGGCCAAAGCTTTCATATGTTAGGCTTCTGGACATCCCCATGTACAATTTCTTCTTGCTTGCTACTTAGCGTAGCACAGCCAAATTTAAATTACTATTATTAAATATAATTAGCATTAAAGAATGCATTCTGTACTGTATTTTGAAAAATCCACTTGCTCCTTCTATGAAAACCATAGCATTTAAACTAACTGGGGTTCCATTTCTATGAAACAACTGAATGGATTCGTTTTCTTATCACAGTTTTTCATATTCTTAATAAAGGCCACTTGTGTTTGTGTTCTCCCTAACTATTCCAAAAGGTTTGGTTTATTCACTCCTCACCCGCTCTCTAATGACTGACGAATAAAGCAGAATTTAAATTACACATAGCAAGGAGATCAGAGAT